AAGGGCTGGAGTTATTTTTGGGGCATTTTCTTCGAAAATTAATAAACGGGCAGGATTCATTACCGTAAAGCAAGCTGTTGTTTCCTTACAGTTCCAGCTGTACATACGGGTGCGTCATGTCAGTTGCTTCTAAGTGAGTCCGTAGGCTTATACAAAATGTATGCGCGCACGAAGAAAATTGGCATATTTTCCTAAGTTGGAAACTGAAATTCAAGAAAAACATTTACGCCAATTTTTTTTTTATTCAACTGGATGATTAATAATAGGAAAATTTCTATTTCATTCTTAGTAATACGGCAACATCCGAACTTGTACATTGTATTCGTGAACTATTCTTATGCTAGAGCATGGTGGATGGATTCTACTACGCAGTCCAAATGGAAACAAGAAATGGTGCTTGGGCAGAGTATCTGAGTTTGAACGTCGGAATGGTTTTATACATACAGGACCCCATCCCGTAACCACTTCAAAACGAAAATAAAATATCTAAGAGATAGAAATTCTATCATTTATTAAAATTATGATCGAACAAATTTCAATTACTTAATTTACAAGAAGACAGGTTATTTTTAGCCGTTACTTTTTTTTACAGTCATTTTTGAACTATATCAATTATTTTACTTTTGATACAAATTCGGATACCTACTGTTGTTATACTTTCGCTGGTATATAATATATCCGTGTTTATCAGAAGCTGTATACTTTTTATAACGTTATTAATTTTAATTCTATTTTACCATAGATACGATCATTTTACTCTAAATAAATCGTTGCTATGCTATATATCCATAAACTTCCCCTCTCTCGGCAAGAGACATTTGGTCGAGCTGTCACCAGGGCCCATATTCATGAAACCGTTCTCATGCTCAAGCATGGATTTTGTGCTCAAGCCTAATTTCCTGCTCTTGTTATAACTTAATAAATATATCTTGTGTTGTCAATGATTTGGAAACATTTTTAAGAGACTTGAAGACAAATACTGTTTTCAATGTTTTCATTTGACTTTTTGATCGTTTGACATGATTTAAGCGAGTTACAAGAAAGTAGGTTTGAGCACAGAATCCATGGTTGAGCACGAGAACGGTTTCATGAATACCGGCCCTGGTCATATATCATAGATCACATAGATATGTATGTACATGACAGAATATCTTTTGGTGTGTTAACAGGACCAGGAGGACACTCAGGCAACACATTGGTAACAAAGGAATAAACCGCTGCTCCATATAATACCGTCAAAGCTTCTCAAAGCATTTTATTGTCCTAATTAAAATAAAGTGTGAATACATTATAGGATGAAAGAGACTATAACCAAATTTACCGTTTTCAATATCTCTTTATTTCTCAAATTTACCGTCAAATCAGCTGCACGTTATTTTTATCAATGAAATTTTCAAAGGAGAATCAAAATTTGGCATCGCAATCAAAGTAACCCAGAATAGATAGCTAATTTTCAAAGGAGTGTCGGAATAAAGTTCAGCTGCAATTTTAATATTTTGGACGGTCGAACAGTTGCACCATTCCGAATATTTCAGGCGCGACCACATCAAACGGCGCTATTAGAACCCAAAGACCCCAAAATTATAAGATCGATACTACGACCAAATTAGCTAGCATTACGCCGGCTGATTGAAGACGGAAACCGGGGCCGCTTTGTCTCATAACACATGTTAAGTCTGTCTTTGATTTTAGTTGAATTTAATTATAACGGCATCCAAAGCTAACGGTTGATCTCATCAGAAACGAGCATATGGAGGGATGTTTATGAGAGTTAGTGTCCTGTTACTGTGTCCTACCATAGTTGTGGTGAAGCAGCATTTCTAAAACTGGATAAGCCTTTGGTGATTGATTCCTGAGGCTCGCGACATGCACCAACACTTTATAAGTTTTGCAAACAGTCGAACTGTCGATCAGCCGTTTCTTAACGCGAGCGCACCATGTGTGTCCGAAACGATTGATTAAAAATTAGATATTCCAAAAACCAAGACGACACAGAAAGTGTTTTCCTTTGAGACTCCGGTATTATGTCTGACTGTGTGTTTGTTTTGAAGCACATTAATTTATTATAGAATAAGCAATTAGACACATGACCAGATTAGTATGGCAATATTTAAGGGTATAACGATACACATTGTTCACGATACGGTACGTATCGCGATACCACACTGACGTTACGTATTTCCATACAAAACTGATGAAACACTACGTATCTCGATACAACACTCACGATACGATACATATCTCAATACAACACTCACGATACGTATCTCAATACAACACTCACGGTACGATACGTATCTCAATACAACACTCACGATACGATACATATCTCAATACAACACTCACGACACGATACATATCTCAATACAACTTTCACGATACGTATCTCAATACAACACTCACGATACGATATGATCTCAATACAACACTCACGATACGATACATATCTCAATACACCACTCACGATACGATACATATCTCAATATAACACTCACGAAACGATACATATCTCACTACAACACTCACGATACGATACATATCTCAATACAACACTCACGATATGATACATATCTCAATACAACACTAACGATAATATACGTATCTCAATACAACACTCACGGTATAGCATATACAATAAGATAAGTATACTGATAAAAGATTTTCGATACGATACACATATCGACACAACATTGGCGATATGATATATGTGTCGATGCGACAGCAAGATACGGTGCGTATCTCGATACAATACTCAATATACGATACAACAATATTCTTTTCTTTGCTCGCACAACATTCTTTGTTCAGGAACAAGGGTTAGAACATGTTCTGATCCAAGCACATGTGTCGCATTCTGTCCCTGTCCGTTGAGTATAGTGACGTAGAATATAGCACATCTTGGACAACGATATATACTTGCATTGATGAGTCTGTTTGAGATATCCAGGAAATATTTCCTGTTTTGTTTTATAAGACAGACTTGGGTGGCATCTGTTCTCACAGCCTGAGAAACATCTAATCCCCACTACCACCAAGCAGGGAAGGACGAGATTTAGTTTTAATCAGATTGTCTCCACATCAACCTCTATGCATTCTCTTTTTCTTTGAGATTAAATCTGCACCGGGTTCTTTGTAGAAAAACTGAATGCACGTGTTACAACTCGTTATCATTTTTGTGCTTATATTTTCTACCGGGACATAGTTACGTATATGACCATTGTTGATCGACACGTACGTGGGCCTAACTGGGTCAATTAAAACTTTAAAACGATTACTTAATTTGAGTCTGTCTGTCTGTTTGTCTGTCTTCTCCTTTACTTATCCCCCTAGGACACTTCTACCCTGTCTATACATATAGGCAGTTCAGCGTTTCTTTTAATTTGTTCTTGCAGTACAATCGACCTTTGAAATTGATATAAACAGCGTTGGCTATGTCAGCATGGATACCTACCGAGAGCTGAAAAGGTGAATGGGCCACCATTCAAAACGGATAAATGAGTTTAGTACAATACGTTTGATAAAAAATATTTAAATATGTAGATAGTCCCCGGAATCCGTGGGGAGGGCGACAGATGGAGTTCCGTATGTCCGTGCCCGTACGCCGTTCGGTTTGTTAGAGATCGATCTATCGACCAGTGTTGGTTTGTTGACAATCAACTGGTGCTTACAGAAACGTTACGCGTAGCTCGACATCTGGACCACACTAATACCCCACTGGGAACAAAGACAAATCTCAGCAGGAGAATAGGGCGAAAAGGGACAGACTCATTTCGAATTATAGACTTACTTGTTGTACACGTGCTACAAGTATAATTATAGAGTTTCCTCTCTGTAGGATTTGTATGGAACGCCAAATTAACATATATATATATATATATATAATCAATTAACTGTACCTATCTTCAAAAAAATGAAGATAGGTACAATTAATTGAAGATAGGTACAATCAATTCAACATAGCACGGAATTAGATTGGCTATCTAAGTCCGTGAATATAGGTACAATTAATTGAATATAGGTATAATTCAATTGAAGTTAGGTACAATCACGCAATAAATGAATATATGTGAATTTGGTTTTTCCACATATTTGCGCAAAGAGCATTTATTTAGCATTCCAGTTCATCTGGGTTACAACAAAAATCGTATACATGCATAATTATATAGAGAGACGAATGTAGTCAGAGATATAATACCGAAATTAATCTGTAATCCAGAATATAACAAACAAGTTAAGGACCTTAATCTTTTCCGGATAACAGTCGGTTGATAGTATCCGTTTCCGGATCAATCACATAGAGCGATCCCAGATAAATAAGACTGACCTTTCCAAACTCAAGCTACATTGTAAAGTAGTGAGTATTGTTATTAAGCAATGTTAGTGGTGTTTTATATCACAAGAATATAAAAATACAATCTTAGTATAGTATATATATTATATGCGACAGAATGATGATGGAATATAATGTATTTACATTTTAAACATAGTATATATACTATACAGTGAATATTTTACTGGACGGGATGGGAGAAGGGAGCGGGTCTAAATAACACGAAAACTATTGTCAGGCGTCTCTGGCGTATTGAATAGGATATTGATCTTTCGGATTTTAAGTTCATCATGTTTCAATGAGTTTTATTTACAGTTTGTAGAAATAAAACTCCGATATATTATATATATGAAAAACAAATGGAACTTTTAGTCCGAGTAGGGCACAACTTGGAACCTTATTATAATATTTTACGAGATATAATAAATTAATTCTATGAACATAACAGAGACAATGCGTGTTCCGAACTATATCTAGTTAGCGGTGACACGGTGCGACCTCTTTGACGGGAATAGTAACAGCTGTTGTCAACGGCCGCCGGTACAAATCCAAGCCATGCCCCGCCCACTTTGTCCCGTAATCCAATCGGTGCAGATGATTGACAGTCATGGTGGCACGTGGCTGTCGCGCGACATCAATGTTTGCGAATGTGATAACAAACGATTATTATTGAAAGAAGGTGCAAGTACAGGTCTTTGTTTTCACGGACGAAATGTGACAAACGGAATAACGGCTATTTCTATTGTAACGGAGTCGATATAAACGGGGGCCACACCGGGTCACATGTTAGAGAGAGCCACGCAGCCAAGCTGGTAACACGCGCTACAGTGGCTTAGTCTGACGGATGACAACACGGCCACACACACACACATATATATATATATATATATATAAATACTTGAAAGGAATATGTGTTGATGATCTTATGGATTATTGATGAAAACACAAATCTGAAATGAAATATCGGAAAACGTGGTAGCGCGTATGTTGAAACACACCAGGACGTTTTCCCATTGTGGAGTTCCATAGAGTTATCGATCTGTATTTTATTTGACATATCAGGCCAGGGAAACTGAGGCAGCAAAACGGTGCTATCGACCTGTGCTTAGCGATACCACGATGGTTCGCAGCTACCAGCAGACTACAGAGCTTCTCAATAACGGTTTTGAGGAGCAGTGGACGTGGAATAAAAAGGACAAATCTCACGAAGTTCGTTTATACGGGACTAAATTCCAAACAGCACACTTCCACCCGAACTGGTCCAATGGAACCGCTGGAGTTCGGGGCTCGCAGGTCCTCAACGATGGGAGGCATTACTGGGAAATTAAAGTCTCCCAGCGAATATTTGGGACCAGTATGATGTTTGGTGTGGGCACGAGACGTGCCCGACTACATGTGGATGCGTTTGTGAATATGTTGGGAGAGGACGGTCAGAGCTGGGGCCTGTCCCACAAAGGACTCCTGTGGCATAGTGGACGCTGGAGACAATACACCACGCCCTTCAAGGAGAACGAAGCCACTGTGGTTGGAATGCTCTTCGACGGAAACGAAGGAACCCTCAGTTTCTTCAAAGACGGAACGTATCTTGGAGTGGCATTTTCAGGTTTAAATGAGATTGAAGAAGAACTTTTCCCAATTGTGTGTTCCACCGCAGCCAAGACGGAGATGACTCTCGGAGTGCGGAGACGAGGATATGTCAGTCTACAGGACAGATGCAGAGCCACCATCTTATCAAAGGTGAAACAGAACAATGATATAGACAACCTGCCCCTCCCGAGACGGATCAAATCGTTCCTCAAAGATGTGGCAAAGTGACATATTACCATGCCGGCGGTGCCGTGTTAGAAATGGTGAACTTTGTATAGTGTAAGAACGGTATGTACATGTTGCGAGTTATACGAGAGAGATACGTTAATTACGATAGTTGGTGCTATATATTTATCGTAAATGCCAGATTCAGAACAAAACACTATGGTCAAAGCAACTTCTTATGATTATATTTATTTTTGGATTGATTTTTCCCCTTTTTATTAGATACATTTCCGTTCATTATACAGTTATAAGTCAGTATTCTCCGAGAATTTTGTACTCTGTATCCCCGTATGGTGTTCTATTCCAATATGGCTACCCTATCATTCATTGATGACCGCAGGTTGATGCTGTGGACTGGTATACATATATGAAATATTAATTATGTAAATTCAGTCTGAAGCGCCAGCCCTATTTTCCACACATAGCCACAAGGCTGGCGTATTATCCATAATTTATAACCTTATCATTTGTCGCGTGCCAAAACCAGTCAAGCCCAATGACAGTTCGTTTGACCTACCCTGTATTCACCGAAAATCGGCAGAAATTCACGATTGAAAACTTACCGAAATATTGCAGAAACAAATATGTATTTTTAAATTTCAATTTTTTTTTCTAATATAATTAAATCGGTTTGCCCGACTCATTAATATGTAAATTTCTGACTGATTAGTGAAGAATCGTGTTTTCACAAAGCGGAGAGTACAGGGCCTCGTATTGATTTCCTATAGTATAACAGTATACGTCTAATTTTAGCTGTGGCCCTGGTTCGTGTTTGCATTGTGTGATTCAGACATTATTATCGAAAAATTCAATAATTTGAGGCCCTTGAGGGGGAAAATGATTTTCCTGATCCAGTAAATGATATAATGGAACATCTGTTTCCATTGACGGAACACACTCGGTATCATCTGGGTGCTCCGGTCCGGCTCGCCTTTGTCAAACAAGTTTAGTCACAACGTCAATAATTACTGACTGTGTTATCACATTTATGATAAATGTCCCATTTTTTACGTGACATTGTTTAGCCATCATGTGTTACTGTTTTTATCTACACGTCACACGAGTGAATGTTTTTTAGTATGTGCTTTAGTGGTTTTTAGTTGGTTATAATATGCACGTGCATTTTATTTGTCGTCTTACGAACAAAAAAATCTCGAACCACGCCGTTTGTAATTGGCTGGTTTACGGATGAGTCTCCTAGTCAAGACTTGTAAATATGTATATATTATTTATATCACTATATAAATGTCCATATTTAGATTAGATCACTTGTATATATCGCACACAACTGTATTTATGTAGAAGGAACGAATGTCTCGCTACAACGGATCTGTTGAAATCCAAACGTGTAAAATAGAAATTTTGTAAGTTTTTAAATAATAGCGTAGTGTATATATATATTTATAGCATACATTGAATTAATCAATTTGTTTATATATATAGATTGAATTTTGAAAATGATATAAAATATGAAATTAACATACTGCTGCATCGCGAGGTTTCATGTCAACAAAGAACGCATCATCTTTTACTACACACATGGTAATTTAGTATATATATATTTATAATATGTAATTATAGTAATTTAGTATATATGTCTATAGTATATGTTATCATACTACGACCCCTAGACTTGTTTGACAAACACCTGTGAGTTAAGAAACATATCTATTCACTAACCTCCCAGTTTAAATTAAATCGAATTTCGATATAAAATATACATATATAATATAAAAAGAACAAATCTCAACTACGAGTCTTTAGTACTTTCATCTCGTCAAGGTGATTCTTCAGACTATATATATATATATATCATCAGTCGTTCTCTGTTATAAGATATTTTGGGGGCTTTACAAGTCTACGGGTCGTAGTATTTAGTTATGTAGTAGAGTTAGACAGCTTGGTCACAGTTGTCCTGGTAGATCAGTAGGTTAGTGTGGTGGGGGTGTAGGATGTAGAAGTAGGCCCAGTAGAGATACTTAGTTAGGCGTAATCACAGGGACCAGACTACATTTACCCGTTACATAGCATCCGTATTATACCAAGTCCCTGTGTAACAAGTGTATGTAATTCATAAGTACCTTTTCTCGGTGAAATTAACGACGGGCATATCGAACCTGAAACGGAAAAACTGATACCCTACATTTTAAAGTGAAATCTGGTTCCTATCTGCATCTTTGTTGTGTCTGTGAAGGGTTAGTAAATTCTTGTGGGGTGAAGGTAGGTGTGGTCACGTGTTGTGAGGTGGAGCTAGATGTGGTCACGTGTTGTGGGGTGGAGGTAGATGTGGTCAGATGTTGTGGTTGGAGGTAGGTGTGGTCAGGTGTTGTGGGGGTGGAGGTAGATGTGGTCAAGTGTTGTGGGGTGGAGGTAGGTGTGGTCAGGTGTTGTGGGATGGATGTAGATGTGGTTACGTGTTGTGGGGTGGAGGTAGATGTAGTTACGTGATGTGGGGTGGAGGTAGGTGTGGTTACGTGTTGTGGGTGGAGGTAGGTGTGGTCACGTGTTGTGGGTGAAGGTAGGTGTGGTCACGTGTTGTGGGGTGGAGGTAGGTGTGGTCAGGTGTTGTGGGGTGGAGGTAGGTGTGGTCACGTGTTGTGGGTGAAGGTAGGTGTGGTCACGTGTTGTGGGTGGAGGTAGATGTGGTCAGATGTTGTGGTTGGAGGTAGGTGTGGTCACGTGTTGTGGGGTGGAGGTAGGTAAGGTCAGGTGTTGTGGGATGGATGTAGATGTGGTTACGTGTTGTGGGGTGGAGGTAGGTGTGGTCACGTGTTGTGGGTGAAGGTAGGTGTGGTTACGTGTTGTGGGGTGGAGGTAGGTGTGGTCGGGTGTTGTGGGGTGGATGTAGGTGTGGTCACGTGTTGTGGGTGAAGGTAGGTGTGGTCACGTGTTGTGGGGTGGAGGTAGATGTGGTCATATGTTGTTGGGTTGAGGTAGGTGTGGTCACGTGTTGTGGGGTGGAGGTAGGTGTGGCCAGATGTTGTGGTTGGAGGTAGGTGTGGTCACGTGTTGTGGGGGTGAAGGTAGGTGTGGTCATGTGTTGTGGGTGGAGGTAGGTGTGGTCACGTGTTGTGGGGGTGGAGGTAGATGATTTATATATAGGCCTCGATGTGAGTATTTGAAGTACCCGTACTATGAGTGTGTACTAGTCAGTAGTTTAGTGGTGGTGGGATTAGACAGATGGCGTCATATATCTTATCGTCATAGAGACATGTGTTGTAGTTCAGGACTGATGGACATAAACGAAACACTGCGTGCAAGGACAAACACTGCACGGCAGGACAAAGGCATGCAGATATGCAAATTCACGCACGTGCGACAGAGGTCTGGTGATTCAGCAGTTGTTAATTGACGCGATGCTATCAATATTTCAGACAAATAATGGCCAACTAGTTGTAAAGAAATTTAGTGCTCACCGTTTTGGATTTTTTGACGGCCGTCCAAACATGTTTCGTTTTCATCTCGTTTATCTCGCATAAGAAAAAGTGAAATCAAACAAATTGGTTAGTTCAAGTGTTGTATAATGATTTCGCCTGGAATATGCAAAGTTGGATTTCCGAACAAATTGCAGTGTATTTAAACTTGTATGTATTGATGACTAGATTATGCATAGTGTATATATGTGATCTGATAGCGAGTGCGTGTGTGACGTGTGTGTGGGGTAGCGTGTAGACATGGATAGAACAATTAGGCTGGGTCCTATGTGCAATAGTTACTATCCTCCAATGGCTGTGGTCAGCTGCACGTGTCCGACACGTGGTCAGTCCGGCCGCAGTCGGCGAGTTTTCAAAGTGATCTCATAATCCTATGTACATAAAATCTTAATATTAGTGTTTTCTATGACCTTATACCTATGCCCCCTTACGTGAGTATAATATCATATACCAAAATGAAAAACAATGATAGAGAGTAGGTTGAATAGCAATTTCATTTTCAAACGTGTACTTTTAAATATTTTTTTATTTATCGCTTTTATATCAGTGCAATATTATTACATGTTTTTTTTTAAAGTCAAAGATAGCGGCACGTGCACTTCAATGTATTACTGAACATAAATATTCATTTAGAGAAATAAGTAGATTATTGTTTAATGCTGTCTTTGGCATTTAACAGGGTACTGATTATATCAGTATTATTGAATACATTTTTATACTTCCTGCTCAAATAAATGGGTGTCCACGTACAACAGATCGTATCACACCTCTTAAGGAAGTGTGACGGTTGGTCAGCAGGATATGTCCGACTCTTTATTTGTCCAAGTGATGTTATCTGACCACTTAGTAAATAGAACGTCAAAAAGGGTCGGACAATTAAAGGGGCGGCAAAAAGGGCTGGGAATCAACCAGCAGCATCTCTAGTATGCCATAAAATAACGCTTTACGTGTAAAACAAAATTTCTAGTAGACGTAATAATTTACTCGGAATATACTTTAAGGATTAATGTGCACTTTTCAATTTACTTTAGTACTATATATGTTTAATTTATTTTATTGTAGTAGTAGATTTACACTCGGAACTCTTAACTTCCCTACTGTGTACGTTAGTAAGAGTATAATTAATTAATGGCGTAGACACTCGGAACTTATTTGTATCCTTTATGTGTAACCTACCCCTATGAGGTATCGGTGCGGTTTATCTTACCTAGCCCACATCAGTATTTTTATTTTATCTGATCAAGTTATCATACTGAGTTTCTATAATGTTGGTAATATTATTTGCTATATTTGTCTATTCTAGCCGTACAAACTGTTATTGACTCGTTTAAAAACCGTTAGCATTATAGTGTATTATGCTATTATTAATATTAGCATTTTAGTGTATTATGTTATTCGTTTTCAAATAACGATAATCAGGTTCTTTTAATGTGAACAAAGTAACATATTATTTATATTATGTTGTTAATATTATTTTAATTAAGTTGTCCGGTTTACTTATTTTTGACAATTTAGTTTTTTATTTAATATATTGACTATATATACATGTAGTTGTATCGACGAACATGTGAATTGGCATAAGAAAATCTTGTGAATTATTAAGTTAGATTTTTATATTAAGTATCACGGAGTTAGATAATCTAATTTCGTGGTAGAGTGCGAGGTATATTTTGTAAGGGCGTGTTTGGATCATACACGTGTTACATGCATATGTGTGTACACGTGTAATGTATGTGTGGTATATTTGTGTAAGAGCGTGTTTGCATGGTACACGTGTTACATACATGTTTGTACACGTGCACTAATGTATATGTTACATGAATATAAGGCTATACGTAGATGGTGCACGTGTTTACACGTGTAATATATGCGAGAACATTGTCTATATGTGTATGGTAGACATATTGGGTGGTTGGCAATAATATTAACTCGTGAAGTGAACAAAACTTGTGTACATGCATTTGCGTACCATTTCTGAATGATAAAATTGATATAAATAAAAAGGATAAATTGATATTAATGACACGTTTGTTTTTTGTTGTATCCTCCATCACGTGGTACCCTGTTCTGGTTGGGTTAATGATTCATCAGAAAACTCGTACTAAAAGCTACACTGGTGCGACCGACGACTGTTATTTTTAGGTCACCTGAGACAAAGTCTCAAGTGACCTATTGCGATCGCCTTTTGTCCGTCGTCGTCCGTCGTCCGTCGTGCGTCCGTAAACAATTTACATTTTCGACTTCTTCTCCAAAACCCCTGAACCAATTTCAATGAAATTTTGCAGGGACCTTCCATGGACAAAGGTCAACAAAA